CCAGAATTTGTTTTCAGATTTATTACTTTGCTTGTTTAGTCTTACAGCAACTTTGGCGTCAATTGGCGCAGCGTCAGTACCATCAGCCGGCTTGGTTACCATGCTGATCGTTCTAACAGCAGTTGGTTTACCAGTGAAAGATGTATCACTGATTGTGGCCGTCGACTGGCTTTTGTAAGTTAGAAGCCAAGCATTTCACTAGCATTGCAAAACTGTCCTCACTCAATAAAGCTCGGTGTAAGTGAGTAGCACTTTTTTCTCATCTGATTGCAGCTCACTCCCAATGAATTGCTGGGTTCGTTATCGTTGGTTTTTTGGACTTCGTCGTAATGCAATAAAAACAAAATATTGTCAAATCCATCACCTACAAAAGCTAAACAAGCAAAATCGTGGATTAAATGCATCTGACTGCATTGATAGTAAACCGGGAAAAGTACCGCGCTGGTGTTCAAACTGTTGTTATGAAATGTATCATTTTGGAAGAAAAAACATTTCACAGAATAAAAACAAAGCCTTCTCTCCGCCAAAATAAATTACTAAATTATCAAAAGCATCTGAGCAATCGACGTAGATGTCCGAAAAAAAACACGCTATGTTGAAAAGATTCAAACTTTTCGAAGATTAAATAAATGCTGAATTATTCTCGATATTTATCATATTACTACATTTTCTGTTCATTTCCTCCCTTAATGTTCCTTTTCTTCTATTTCCTTTGCAATTTCATATAGAGTTTGAGGTTAAACATGGGCAGGCTATTTTTGGGATTTATTGTTTTACCAAGTTCTCCAATACACGCAGTCACTAGCGACCCAGGGGGAGGGGCGAGGGATCTTTCGCCCCCTCCTCCGGGGCTTAGGTAGCATGTATTCTGCTGTAGAAAAGTCTACTTGAAGCCCCCTGTTACCCCTTCTCCCCCATGAGCCTTCAAGGGGGAAGGGGAGAATAGTGGGAGGACCAGGAAGGGAAGCGGGAGGGAAAGGGGAAGGAGGCGGGGAGGGGGAGGGGCAGGAAGCAACGGACCGTTGAGTATAGTGACGAGTGAGGATAGTGCGGCGAGTAAAGGGTGGGTTGGAAGCCACTTGAGGGGGCGGGGGAAGTGGTAGTGACGAAGAAAGAAAGTGAGATGAAAAATCGCCCCCTCCCCTCGCCCCACCTCCTCCAGGAAACCACCTTGGATCCGTTTATGCACACTGTCCCTTTATCATTTCTTCTATTACTTCTCCTTGATAGGAATGCGTTACAGGGACCGTATCCGGACTTCGATCAATGTGCTCGGTGATGCGTTTGGTGCCGGAATTGTGCATCACTTTAGTCGAAAACAATTGGCAGTGATTGATAATGAGCATCGTTTGGCCCAGCAGGCTTACGATGAGCATGGTTTGCAGTCTTTTCGTATAAATTTTCCTTCCTAATCACTTACTTTTAGAGAAAACCAAGCGTAGAGCGCATAAGTACTATTCTCCTCTTCCAGGAGTCTTGCTGGAGACCGTGCTGTACGAGCAGAAGATATCCAACTAACTGTTTTTTTGGTCTGATAACCACCTGTTCTAAAATGGCCAGTTTAGTTCCTTCTGTTGTGGAGGAGGAACTGCTTTGTTGGCTCCTCAGGTCGCTTTGCCCCACAACAATAATAATTAAATTGTATTTCTGGTTCGTTTCCTCAAGTA